TCCACAGCCAGCGGCCGCGAATGTACAGCGTGGAGCACCAGCCGCCCTCGCTCGACGATATGCGCTCGCACTTTAGTGCTAAGAGCAAAACGCGCTCCATAGCCGACGGCCAGTCGCAAAACAGCTTCTCCAATCAGTCAGGACGCTACCTCACCGCTAACGCTTTCCCCAGCAATTTGCTCGCTTCCAGACAAGGTAATTTCGGACGTAGAATGAGTATTCAGAGCTTTGTGCAATAAATAGAGATAGGAGACAATCATTAGTATCGTAAATAATGACTCAGTCTGTTTAAAAATGATGAATAAGTTTTCCCCATTTTATTTTGTTGAAAAATGTATTTGAAACTTTTTAAAGAACTCCTTAAAATGAAACGAATGATTCCCTAAAAAATATTACAGTATTCCGGAAACTTCGAAACATATTCTGCAGATAAAAATAAGTAAAAATGTTCCTTATGTATGTCCTAAAATGCTTAGATTTGCAGAATTTGATCCCTTGACTTTTTTTCGTACGACGCACCGTTTTCGCGTAAAAAAATAAAAACCATTTTCATACATGACTAAATCGCTAAATTTTACCGTAAATTTTTAAAACGGCAAACTTAAGTTTAAAATAATTTTCTATTTTTTTATTTTTTTTACGCGAAAACGGTGCGTAGTACGAAAAAAAGTCAAGAGATCAAATTTGCTCCAATTTAATGTAGATTTAAAAAATAATTTTTATTTAAAAAAAACAGTGGGGTATCATTTTTTTCTTCAATAATATTTGGTTTAAATACCGTAGGGACGCCACTGATGAAAATAAAAAAATGTTAATAGCATATCAAAAAATGTCATTTTATGGTAAAACAACGTGTACCAAATTTAGTGATTTTCATCCAACAGGGTCCTGAGATATTAAAAAAAACTCTTTTTAGTGGCAAAATTCAGGGGCTGTAAATCCGAAAAGGGGGCCACTGGCCAAAAATAAAAAATACGGGTCACCTATTTTTTTTTCAAGAATCTATAACCAAATTTTGTTACATTAATTTCGGAACACCCTATATAGTGATATTACATTATTTAAATAGAAGACAATATTATTTATATGTTAAACTAGATTTTAGTTGCTTCTTTTAAAGCTTTTATTGAGACAGTTTTCTCTATCTCATTATTGCTCAAAACTCATGAATATAAACTCAAACTGCATTCATTCCAACAACCTGGCTTCTAATACGCATCACCACACACTTATTATTTGCTTCAGCCACGTAGACCTTGTAATCCTATCCCAATTTTCATTTAGATCTACGTCAATCCAGGCAGTCGCTCGCCATGCAGTCCGAGAGGGCCTCGGCGCGAATGCCATCGCACCCCGGACCGGCTCATTCTGTGACGTCGTCGACGAGACGGTCCAGACCGAGGTCCAGGTCGAGGGACCACCACAGGCCGAGCAGCCGGTACAGCACGGCCGGATCGACCCACACGCTTAATAACTACTGCGACAATTCGGATAACTGGACGGACCACGATATGGAAATATACATGGCCAGGAATCCGACGGCTCGGAACGGGCTAGTACAATTGTAGAGCATGGTTTAGATCAATTATTAATGTTAACTGTTATTATATTTAGTTTATCGCATATACAGGGGTGGTCCGAACTGTATTCCGGAAGCTTTGGCGGCATATTGTGCAGATAAAAATAAGTAAAAAAGTTTGTATAAATGTATGTTCTAAAATGCTTAGTTTCGGAGATACAGGGTGTAGAAGTTTCATTTTTATTACGATTTTTTCCAAATAATTTCGGAAGCAACGTCAATATTTGGATGAAAATTGGTGTCTGGAAGTTTTTTGACATGAGAAGTTTTGGTTTTGATGTCAATATGACTCCTATTTGTAGGGAGCGCCACCTACATGTGTTTTAATTGTTTTGAAGAGTAACGGCTTTTCGTCCGTACCTGTATAAAACTACTGAGTCAAAAAATCTACATTTCCGTAACTTTTTACGTAAAAAATGTCTCTTGGTAAAAATCACTATGAGCAACCGTTCTCAATATATTTAGAATGGAAATAGTCAATACATGTCATTATTGACAAAAAAACACGTTGAGAAGATAGTTATTTGACTGAAATAATAAACTTGGGAAATTTTTACTTTTTTAAATTTAAACATAAATTTCTCTGCAAAAAAATGATGATAAAACAGTTTCTGTTGACCTTTTGGCACAAAACATTTCAAATTTATTATTTTAGTCCTTTGAATAAGAAGACTAAGGAAGGAGCATAATGCTATCCATGTATTCATGCATGGTGGGCGGAAAAAGGACTCTAGGGTCGGGATCCTTGACAGTTCTGTTTGACGATTCATTTGACACATTTGAATTTGATTTGAAATTTTGTGGATTTGTCAGTCTTTACGAAGCTTATTTTATGTTATTTATTATTTATTCTACTACTGATAGTTGTATAAAGGTAGTAAATCTAGATGGAAATTGTGGCAGAACTTAAATTAACAGTGACACTATCGCAATTTATCGAAAAAGACTCTAAAATAGTTGGTTGTGTAGCGTGGGGTAGATCTCGGCAAAAATCGAGTGAAATAATGGAACAACTTTTCGCTAGTAAGCGACTATATAATATACATACGTGTAGTAAACCAATCATTTATGAAATTTACTTAAATAAACCAATTATATATTTTTTCATGCATTTTTGCTTTTATTTACTACTTGTCAAAGATTAGATGTCAAAGAATTTAGATACGTCAATTTGACTTACCTGCTTCAGTAGCGTATCGGATGTTTATGGTTATAAATAATTATTATAACTTATCTATTTTTATTAAAATTTTATATTTTTATAACAATTTTAATAACTACCAACATTTATTCACAACGTAAAATTAAAAAAAACATATTGAGTCTACCCCACGTCTACCCTTTATCATAGTATTACATTTTTTAAATAAAATTAGAACGGCTCTGATAAACCGGAATTTAATTCGGCCATATTTGAGGCCCATCGCGGTGGACCTAAGATTTTTGATATGCTCCTTCCTTAGTCTTCTTATTCAAAGTTTCAGTCTAATAACTATTTAGTCAACATGTTTAATTTATGTCAATGATGACAGGTATTGATAATTTCGATTCCAAATATGACGAGAACCATTACTCGTAGCGATTTTTACCAAGAGACATTTTTTACGTAAAAAAAACGTCGTAAATGTATATTTTTTTACTCAGTAGTTTTATAGAGATACGGACGAAAAATTATTACTCTTCATAACAGTTAAAAATATGTAGGTCCCTCCCCCTTCAAGTAGGAGTTATATTGACCTCGTCATCAAATTTCTCATGTAAAAAAGCACCCAGACACTCATTTTCATCCAAATATTGACGTTACTTCAGCAATTATTTGGAAAAAATCGAAACAAAAATGAAACTTCTACACACAGCATTTTAAAACATACATTTATACGAACTTTTTTACTTATTTTTATGCTGCCGAAATTTCCGGAATACAGTTCGGACCACCCTGTATATGCATAAAATTGCAGTTATCGCAGTATTGAATTTATGTATTGACATAGAAATGTTGCATAAAAAAAGAAGAACTATGGATTTATTCAAATAGAATGCATTAACATTCGTAGAGTACGTAAACACAAAATCACAAATTGAAAAAATTAAAAAAATGTTCAAATAAAGTCGGATTCCCGCCTGTCAGTCTCAACGAAACAGTCTGACTAATTCAGTGTTACTCAAAGACGGCAAACTTGTACACTATTTTTTACACCCTGTATAGTCTGAATCTTCATAATCAATTGTACAGTATAGGTATATCAAGTAAAATAGACAAATTTAGGATAGACGACGTCTAAGTTTCAATGAAGGCGTATGCTTTTTTTCTCATCAACTTTTCAGTTATTTTAATATAGTATGTTTATAGTATATTTTAAAATAAATTATATTATTATCTATGTTCATAGAAACAAATTATTAATTTGTATAAAAATATATCCTTACACAGTATTCAAGCAAAAAATATACATATTTTAGAACTAACAATATGCAAGTTAAAATTATATAAATTAAATATAATGTGTAAATATATTTAGTACTATAATGTATGAGTATTTAGCTATAAATCGTATATTATTTATATTAATAGATTAATAGTTAAAGAAAAGAATGCACAATTAATAATTAATTAGTGATTTATATAAATATGACTGCTCAAAATATGGCTGATGTTGACAAAATGCACTGCCAGTGTTGTATTTATTATACATAGTATATAAAAAAGTGTTATAGGTTTAAATATCGAAGTATTTAGTTAGTAAGAAGATCAATAAAATAAATATTGTTATTTTAGATGAAGCATTAAGAATTTTTGTAAGTAAAAAAATTAATAAAAAACAAATTGAAAATTCTTTATTTGAAGTTTGTACTATTGAAATTGAGTTATTATACTAGATAGAGCAACAACCCAACTAGGTCGACTCCAAATTGATCACCAAAGTTAAGCGACGTTAGAAGAGGTGGGTTTTTGGACGGGTGGACGTCTAAATAACTTGGACGTGCTGCAGTTCTAAACCAAGAGCGTAAAATCTATTGAGGCGCTGATATTGCGATCTCATTCAGTAAGACTAGATTTAGATAAATACTTGCTAGTCCATTATGTCTGCTGGGGGCCGCGGTTCGGTTGCCGCGTAGACATAGTAAGTCCAGATTACCTCTGACAGTAAAAATCTATCTACATTAAAAAACCTTTATGTTCTTCATTGAAACATAACATAACATAACGTTAAATCATTCAGAAGAATCAGAAAATTCCGTAAAGTACAACCCTTATAAACAAGGGTACAACTTTATAATTTGTGGATATCCAAATACTGTCTATGCGGAGTTTGGTGGACCGCGGTGTTGCCAAGAGCGAAAAATAGTCCCTAGTTTACGTGAAAAATACAAAATAGATATAACATAGATTTAAGTACTTTTAAGTTTACTATATCATAGATAATAAGTGATAAACTTACCCGAGTATCATGGTGGACTTTTCCCAACGGTACCTCATCTCCTGAACGAATTCGTACCAAAGCTGACAGAATGCTTTCAGACCTCCAAGGCTTTGAAGACAATGAGACAAAACAATTGCCAGTCGCCAAGGTAACAAATCTTCGGCACAAGTTTTGAAGCCCTTGAATTCTTCATCCATATTTTCAAATATCTGTAAAAACAATATAACTACATACTAACAAAAATATAATATAAATTCAGAATATTATAGTTGTAATTTATAACAATCTTGAACCAATCTTTAACAATTTTCATAATTAAAAAGTGAGAAGTAATTAAGTTAGGGTGTCCTCTATAACTACTTATTTCTCTGAAAGTTATACAGTATGTCCCCGGATTGCCTTTTGTAAAAAATTCGTTCTTCGTAAAAAAATGTTGCTTGTTCTAAAATGGCTAATCCCGTTTATACTTATTTAAATTTCCATACCGTTTTACAGAAAATAAAAAAAAACATGAAAATATGGTTGATTTTTTCATGTTTCAAAAATTTTGAAACATGAAGATTGAACATCAAAAGGTTGAATTTTTCAAGTCCTAAAAATCAAATGCTTTCATAGATTGTTATTGATAGAATTTTAATTAACGTCATATTTTTTGCTGTTTTAGAATGTTAAAGAAGCACAAAATTTATTTAGTTGAATGCTACGGAAAGTGTGATGATAATTATCAGAAAATGTCATACTTAACTGATAATAACCATCCATCAAAGGATGAAAATGAAATTATATCACCATAGCCTTTTGATTTTTAGAAGTTAGAAATTCAACTATAATTTCATGAAATTCCCTTACCAAATTTTAGTTGTCGAACTTCAGAAACAATGGCATCACTGACAATTTTTTGCCACACTGCAATCTAACATTTGTTTAAACAAATTGAAATATTACAAAAACTATTAATTTTAGGTACATAACATTATATATAAAAAGGTTATGGAATTTTAGGCAGAATCTAAAAATAAAATAAAAAATAGGGTGTTACATTTAAAAAAACATATGTTATGTTCGCCAAACGTTTTTGAAGCACCTTGTATACTCTAATATTTTTAAAATGTGTATCTTAACTGTCCCTACAACTTTTATATTTAATATTTTTTTGTAAATCTTGAAACAAATTAACAAATGAGATAATGGACTTTACTCTGTCGTTGACTCACCCTGTACATATCCCAATAAATAAAAAACAAACGTACCTTGCATTTCCTCTGTGTAAGCTCTTTATCCTCCCTGTACAAATACAGAGAATTCTCATCAGCATCCGGAAACAAGAAATACAACAGTGGTACCAAAGTACTATCAGGCAGAGGCAGCACCCCTTTCCTGTTCTTACTCAAAGACGTTATAGAAGCGCGATTCAGCAAACTCGAAATCGTTGGCACCGCGGGTTCAGTTAAAACATCCAAAGGATTATTGTCCACCGGCATTGGCATTACGACAAAGTCACCCAGTAAGTCGTACGCGGTAGAACTGTTAGTTAAAATTTGACTGTATTCACTTAAACACTCCCCTAACAAAGAAACAGGATTTTCAGTCAAATTAACACCACAGTACCATTTGGGAGCTTGAGAAGGCTGAAAATCTGTGTAACTTTCACTATCAATCAAAGAATGTTCCGATAAATGATTCCACACAGCTTTAAAAATAATTGAGTTGATCGGCTCAGTTGTCACACCAAAAGGTAAGATGAACAGATCTTCAACATCTAAATGATCGGAATTTCCTTGCTTCCAAACAAAATTACTAAAATTTTCTAAAACATACGTGACTTGGAAGGATACTATAATATTGTCGATCGTACAAGGCGACATAATTTTACTTTTAAACACGTCCAAAATTCCATTCAAGTATTGGCAGTAATGAGGACTTTTCTTTAAATGAACCATATCAAAGTTAGTTCTTATGGAATTTGCTTCGTATATTCCCAAATATAATTTCTGCCACTTCTCTCTGATTTGTATAAAAACAGGGACATCTAAATTAGAATTACTTATAAGAACACAAACAGAACTCAATAAAATTTTAACTTTGCTTTCATTGTTGATATTCCCTCCATCCCCTGCAGGACCCAGCACAATAAATTCACTTAATCCATACCAATTTGCTAAACATATGTCTTTGTGATCATTATGCGGATCAGTAATAAAAGTGAAATCATGCCATGAATTCAGTGGGTGTTTAGTTGCTTGATCGCTAGATTCCGAAACATCTTCCTCTAGTATCTTTTTATACCAAAGCAAATCGAAATTAGTGTCTATAAAAACGAGTTTTTCTGATCTTGTGTACCACGATTTTTTTAGGTCTTTCTGTTCAGATTCATCCCAGGCCTCAGACTTCCACTGATTGATGATTTCTTCTATGTGGGCGATGAATATCTCCCAGTCGGAAGCGGTGGTGAAATCCTCATGGTAAAACTCACTTTCGTCTATTTCTTCGTTCATTTTTAAGAAAATAATAAACAAATCACAAAAGCTTCAAAACAGATGTTATTTTAGGTTAAAAACAGCTGTTTTTGACACATTTGTATATCTGGTTATATAACAAATAATTTTAAGACTTTTTTAAAACTGTTTTATCCTGGTGTTTTATCATGAAAAAAATGTTGGAAGCCTAAATTTTTGGAGTTTTATTATCAATATTTGACCACCTAACTGTTAAATTTTCAGTGCTACGTGGTAAGTACCTATTCGTTTAATTTTTTTTATCATTATTATCCTTTATTATTTAGCATATTAAAATCACTTCATTAATACAAAATGCTATTAAATTTTCTTTTGCCTTTTATTAATTTGATATAATACAATTAATATGTCAAGTAAGATATATATTGTGTTAGGAACTGGTTACGAATTATATTTTCTTAAAACTATTTTCATTTTAGACTATATACATTAGATAACCAGTAATATACGACAGTAAAATATATTTATTATATTTTTTAAATTTTCCTTCACCATACCGTCAAGAAATATATAATAGCAAAAATTAAATTACAGTTCTCTTAAAATTTATATCTATAATAAGACAAATCTTTAACTGAATTTCATATAGTAGATTCATATTTAGTTAACTGTTTTATGAGATATTGGAAAAAGGCCATAATAGCAAATGACCAAGATAATGGAAACCATCCAGCTTTTATCCATGCCCAGAAAGTTAGTCTGAAACAGAGACACTAATTCATCGTTTAATTTGCATATTTAAAAACATACTCGTAATTTTTGTAATTTTCGTAATATGGATTGATTTTAATTTCTCCACATTTTACTATTTTAACTCCTCTGATTATTCGGTCATTTATATCAGTTTTAATGTGTTCAATGGTGTGAACTACTTTGTGACCTTTTAGTACCTACAAAAGAATAAATATATAATAAAAAAAACTAGCAAATTATACCGGATGACACAGTGTTTTCAAAAATTGATATTCAGTTTCAAATTTGAAATTTTGAAGTTTAATTCCAAATTTTTTAATTAGGAGGCAATAATAACCAGTATGTAACATTACAAAAATAATGAGTTTATATAAATAAATATATATAAAAAAACCTAGGATATACCGGATGACACAGTCTTTTCAAAAATTGATATAGGTATTGTTTCGAATTTGAAATTTTGAAGTATAATTCCAAATTTTTTAATTAGCAGGCAATAATAACCAGTAAATAACATTATAAAAATAATGAGTTTATATAAATAAATATATAAAAAAAACTAGGAAATTATACCGGATAACACAGTGTTTTCAAAAATTGATATATTGTTTCGAATTTGAAACGTTGAAGTTTAATTCCAAATTTTTTAATTAGCAGACAAGCAGACAATAATAACCAGTAAATACGAGCCCTAACAACTATATGTTGGGACAAGGTAATATTATGGAATTATTGCCATGGTTTTTCAAAATGACTGAAAAATATATGTTTAAGTTTTTAAATATAAACATAGCCATATATATCCTAAACAACTTGACAATATTTTTATGAATTTGTAAATCAATCCATATTTACAGTAGCGGATTTTGTTCATAAAAGGACAAATTTGCTGACAACTAAACGTTGGGACAAGTTTTAAATAATTAATATCATCATAGGCGGCTTTGCTATAAACATCACAAATGTCGCAAACTGTTTACTTCAGCATTGACAGCTTGTAAGTGACTCGATACTTTGAGTCATCTTTGAGTAGTGAGATTTACTGTAAGAAATTTTAATTTTTTTAATTTTCAATTTTGTTAATTTAATCCAAAGTAATGGTCCGTGGAAAAGCTACAAATCAAAAACTACGCGAAATTATCATTCGTTAATACAGTACGGGAAAAACAATTCGAACAATTTCTGATGATTTAAGTATAAACCAAACCACGGTCTTTAATATAATAAAAAAATACGGCGAATCTGCCAATGTGGACGTTAGAGGTAAAAGTTCGGGAAGGCCAAAAGTTTGTATCTCAGAGAGATTTTCGAAATTTAGTAAAAATTTGCAAGTCTGCGAGAAGAAGTACTCTTCGCGAAGTAACAGATACATGGAATACTGTAACTGGTTTAAATATATCAAGAGAATGTTGCCGAAAATATATCCACAAATGCGGTCTGGGGTTTTACAAGGTAAACTTTATTTTGTGTGGATACTCAATTACCTGAAGATTATTGATACAAATTCTTATTTAGGCCAAAGGAAAACCGCTACTGACAGAAATTCAAAAGAAAAATCGCTACAATTGGGCAAAATCTAAATTGTCGTGGACACAAAATAATTGGAATAAGGTCATATTTAGCGATGAGTCTAAATTTGATGTTTGCGTTGGAGATCATCGAAAACGAATAATACGAAATAAAGCAGAAGCCTTTCATAAAGATTACTTAAAGAGGGTTGTTAAATTTCCGAAGGGGATTATGGTTTGGGGTTGCATGTCAGCAAGAGGTTTGGGCAAATTAAATTTTATAGATGGCACTGTTAACGCCCAAAAATATCAACATATTCTTGAGACCTCACTTTTGCTTAGTGCTCAAGAATTGTTTCCAAACGAAGACTATATTTTCCAACAAGATCGGAGCATCGTGCCATTCAGCAAGATCAACTAAAAATTGGTTCGGTAATAATAATATAAAAGTTCTATCCCATCCTTCAAGTAGTCCGGACCTCAATGTTATAGAAAATGTGTGGCATAAATGAAGCAATATTTAAGAAACCACCCTCAATGAACAATTTTTGATATGCGGACAAAACTGCAGGAAATTTGGGGTAATTTTTCTCCTCAAATGTGCCAATCTTTGGTAAATACAATGCCATTAAGAGTTTAGGCAGTTGTTAAGGCGAAAGGTGATGTAACTCCGTATTAAGCAAATTTCTTGTTGTGCTGTCCCAATATATAGTTGTCAGCAAATTTGGCTTGATCTTGTCAAAATAAGCTATTATCAAAAGTGATTTATTTGCAAAGTTATAAAAATATAGTAAAATTGTCTAGATCATATTTTAATGCTTGAATTTAGAATAATAAACAAAATAAATTGAGTCGTTTTAACAAATTACCATTTTTATTGCAAAAAAAGACCTTGTCCCAACATATAGTTGTTAGAGCTCGTAACATTACACAGTGTATTAAAGTACTTCTAATATGTACCTATTTGTACACTAAAGTTGTAGTTTTTTTAATAAGATGCTGTATACTTTTCGTACCAATGGATTTGCTATAAAACTTTTAATCCAAAAACATCATGTCATAATCAATATCTAGTAGATTTTGAAATATTATAACCATTTTTTCAAAACTGATACATAGGTATATAAAACATAAAGTTGGGTAACCACAAGGTATGTACTAAAAATAAATAGTGTGCTGTTTAAAATAGCGAAACGTGCAATGACATAATGCAAAACATGGAACGATTTAATTTTACCAAGTAAGGTAAATCTATATTTTATTTAGTGTATTAAATGATGTTTGATCTTTTTTTCATGGCTTATTATTTTATAGCAAATCTACTGAGCAAAAATATACTGTTTGTAGTATTTAAAAAGCTACAACTAGGTACAGACATACAGGGACGCGCCAAATATTTTCGGCGCCGTCGTGCGAAATAAGGGTTAGGCGCCTTTCTCCAATCTATACTAATATATAAAATACTTAAGTGACTGACATACTGATTAATCACGATCCTGCTCAAACCAATCAACGTAAGAAGCTCAATTTTGGCATACAGGTTGATTCTAGGGTGTAGAGGTTCGATAAGAAGGGATTTTTCGAAATTCCAGTTCCAAGTGGGTGAAACCACCCCTCAAATATTACAATATTTTTTATTTAAAAAACGGCTAAGTTTCCGAAAAAACGCATAAACACGTATATTTTATTTTGTTTTTTTACATATTTTAAGATTTTTTAAAAATGTATACAGGGTGTTTCGAAAAATCTGGTCATTGATTAATCAGGATCCTGCTTAAAGCGCTTGACGTAAAAAGCTGATTTTCGGAAATCAGATTGACTTTAGGGTGTAGAGGTTCGATAAGAAGGGATTTTTCGAAACTCGAATTCTAAGGGGGTGAAACTATCCCTCAAATATTAAAATATTTTTTATTTAAAAACCGGTGAGTTTTTCGAAAAAACCTTAAACACGTATATTTTATTTTGTTGTTTTACATATTTTAAGATTTTTTATCAATTTATACAGGGTGTTTCATAAAATATGACCGTTGAGTAATCACGATTCTGTTTAAACTGCTTGACGTTTAAACCTGATTTTTGGCAAACGGATTGACTGTGGGGTGTAGAGGTTCGATAAGGAGGGGTTTCTCGAATCTCAAATTCCAAGAGGGTGAAAACGCCCCTCAAATATTACAATATTTGTTATTTAAAAAACGGTTAGTCTTTGGGGTAAAGGCTTGGACAAGCGTAATTTATTTGGTTTTTTACATATTTTGAAATTTTTTGAAAAATCATACAGGGTGTTCCAAAAAGTTGGGAAATTTCTTAACCACGATTCTGCTTAAACTGCTTGACGTAAAAAGCTTATTTTTGGCAAACGGATATTTCGAAAGTCAAATTCCAACGAGATGAAACTACCCCTCAAATATTACCAAGTTATATAATAATGTCGCCATATTGTTTTTTCTCATGCTGACATAAATGTAAGAAAATTTTATTCAGTTTGTATGTTAATGGAAATTCTTGCTTTGCTTTATCATCACCATTACAAATGATTAATTTCACGCGAACGAAGTCGCTGGTACACGCTAGTATTATAATATTAAGCCAAAATTTCCAATGACCAGCGGCGCGGCGCTCGACATTGGTGGATAATTCATTTTCACCACTGGCGTTCATACATAAAAGTATTACTTAAATTTTATGTTAATTTGTTGATAAGGTCCAAAAAATGGTTTTATTATTTTTTAAAGTCAGTGACCGCAGGCGCCTTTAGAGCTTCGGCGCCGTCGTGCGCGGCACGACCTTGCCCATATGGACGGCGCGTCCCTGCAGACATATGCAGGGTGAGTGTTTAATAACTGCTAAATATTTTAGCGTTGGTATATTTCGATCCAGGAACATGTCTATGAAGTTATTTTCGCAAAAAAATTGAAAATGTCGTATTTTTCAAAAAGACGTTTCTTTTATTTTTAGTTACAATACATATAATATCCATATAGTATTGCAAATAGGTAGTAGATTAAATTTAGAGTAACGAAAATACAGAAAAAATCCAGTGACTCAAAATTTTAGCAAAAAATATTTTTGTTCTAAATTTTGAAAGTATAATAACGCGACTATTTTGGACTTTTTTATTTAAAAAACGGTAAAGAGAAAATATATGTTTCTTCTATCGATATTCATCGATTAAAGGAGGGGAGGGAGGCTAGGGGTTCCTTAAAATAAGGGCCTACGGAATTACTTACCATTCCAAAAATTACATGTCTTCCGTTCAACCAAGGAGTTGCCATTGTCGTAATAAGAAACATACATCCATTGGAATTTGGCGCTATTTAATAAAAGACAATATCAATATTTTAAAACATATTTTTCTCAATATGCTATTCCTATATGAATAATTTTAATTTTATCATCAAATATTTTCAACATAATTTTGAAAGTGCAAAATTATATGTATAAACATTTTTCAAAATCGAAGCTTTTATTATGAATACCGGTGCGTTTGAAAAGTGGCTCACCCCTATAATTTTTTATTTTTTTCACATAAAAAAACGAGGTTAGTATATGACATAAATTAGGATTGATTGACGTATTCAATTGTTTTCGGTCACTTCCTGTTTCACCGGAAATGACTACAACTTTTGATTTTTAAATGGCACCCTCGGTATTTTTTTACTTTATTGGATAGAAAACGACATTCTGAATAGAATGAAATATCATATGTCAACTTTTGACATTCTCGCTAAATAAAAAATTGTATTTTAAATTTCAATCTAGAATGCCATGACTATGTTAAAAACACCAATTCTTAATCAAGGAGCCTTCGAAAAATAAATCTGACCGTCTAATGTTTTTAGTGGCTTGTCCTGGCCGGTTAAAAAATACCCAAATCGTATTTTTAATCATATCTCAATTTTTTCAAATGGAATGAAGGTTTGGTTGGTTCATTAGCATATTTGGAAAAAGCATTTTTTTACGAATAATTTGATACTACACGCTTGGTATTTAGAGTGAAATTTTCGTTACAAACCGCAAGTTGTGATTTCAAATAAACCGTATGCGAAAATGTCAAAGTTGACATATGATATGTCATTTTATTCAGAGTGTTATTTTCTATCGAATAAAGTAAAAAAATAAAGATGGTGCCATTTAAAAATCAAAAGTTGTAGTTATTTCCATAAAATAATAAATACAAGAAGAAGTGTCAAGTCAATGTTAAATTATGGAAACAGCGTGGCTGCCTGGGTAACTAATTTTTAGATATGGCGGCTGGGACATTTGACATGACATAGACATGACAATTTCAATTTTATGAAATTTATTTTCGTTTCCGGTTTTTAATGGCGGGCTGTTCAGGAGGTTTAAATGAGGGTTAATATACTTTTTACTCTTTCTAGTAGTAAATAATACAACAAAATTACTCAAAAATATTTATTTGGAATTTAGAACAATGTAAATATTCAAATCAACACAATTAAAGAGCTATAAACCAATAAACTACTGTATCAATATCAAATATTTAAATAATATCAGAGATGCTGTGTTAAAGTGAATTAGTAAAGTAACAGTGCATTGACTTACAGAAACTTGAAGATAAATAAATGTTTTCACAGCTTCACGGGCATAAAACTAAATACCTGGAAGCAGGAAAAAGGCAACCGGAACCCACACAAAACCTGGAATCAAAAAAAATATGTAAAAAACATAAATATAAGTACATAAGACTTTTGTGAATTAAATCAAACAGGACTTGAATGAAAATAAAATGAATAAAAAATATCATGATATATACATACATCTAATACCTCATTTGTATTTTAAAAATAATCTACATACATAGATTTATAGCATTATTGCTATGACCTCTATGTACCTATGTGATATGTAATTACGCATTTCTGTTCATCTTGTAGAAAATTAATGTAGGCTAATAATAGTTCAATAATCATAATTTACCTTGTATAACTTGCTTTCAATTGCTCAAAATCACCGATCAGTCTTTAAAGTAGAGATACGGAAAAATCCTTGGCAAAGAATATCCCAAGATCCTTGGGTTTAAAGCTAAAAAAATATAAAAACAGTTTATATATAACTTATTTTTACATATAATATGGCCCATACCTACTACACGCAGAAACGTCGATTTCATAATTTTCTTCATGTAATTAATATCATATAATATACTTTATTAAAGGGTTAACAAGGAACTTTATATCAAAAAACATCTTTGTACTTATAAATTTCAGCCGAAATATCAGAAACAAACTTCCAATCAAATCTAAACGGCAAAAATTAAAATGGCGCCCGACCTTGCCAGAGGCCTCGGGAGCTGACGCTGACACACAAAAGACAAAAGAACAGGGCGCCGACGTGCATAAAAATGTTCTGTAGCAGAAATTGACAGAAATCATATAGAAATATTCAGATTTTTGTCTAGGACAGTCTAGAAGGCCATGCTTTCTGCCTGGGTAGAACCGCGCCACAACTGTTTCCAATTTTCCGGTTTACTGTCACCCCCCTGGTTATTTCCGGTGAAATAGGAAGTGACAGAAAACAATATAATACGTCAATCAATCCTAATTTATGTCATATACAAATATACCAAATCTCGTTTTTTAACTGAAAAAATAAAAAAGTTATAGGGTGTGAGCTACTTTTAAGACGCACCAGGTATATAAGAGAAAAAAAAAATTCAGAAATAAAATATTCATTCTTAAAAATATATTATTTACTTTCAAATTATGCTTCCTAAAGATTATATTTACCCCCTAAATTGACCATCGCTAGTAGTCCAGAAGAATCATGACCAATCTGAAAATTTTCATCATCAAAATACTCTCCATAAATACTTAAAGACCCTGTCCCATTATTATGAACAATATCTCCTCCTATAACAAAATCAATTTACTCAAAGAATTTACTAGTAATCAAATACCAGTTCTGTCAAAGTGTGATAATTTGTGAGTTTATTATTTTTCTTAAATTAAAAATTCAAACTTACCCAATATCATAACTTTTTTAATTGCTATTAAAAAATTAGTGCCCACATAACTCTTGCCATCTATACCTCTCAGTGCCAGGTGTTTAAAGTTTTGAACTGTTTTGGGAACAACTTCTCCAAACAGTCCAAAAATTATTCGATTCGTTTCTTTACCTTCGATTTCTATGTCCATGTATATTTGGTCGGTTATTTTGTAGTCTTTTGAGTAACCCTGTAACTTACACACTTTGCATAATTTGTATTTTTTCTTATTTTGTAATGTCATTTCTTTTTTGTTACATTGCCTATTTGGTATTATTGCAGTTAAATGGAGTAAATGTAAAGTATTGAATCGAATTTAAGAAAAAAAAACATAAAGTTTATTTAACAAAATTGAAATTTGAGTTTAAGAAAAATTTTAAGTTTGTAATTCAGTTGAATTTAAATAATTTACCTGATTAATCACAAGCAGAACAAGACACACTGCAGAAAATCGTCTAATGGCAAACATTATTATTTTAGTAATTATTTTGTTTGCTTTGTGTGGTTTAATAAATACGCAATTTGTTATAGGACTAATTCGATTTTCCTATATTTAATATGTACGGTTTTAATCCAATTACGCAAGCTATACGAGGGTAGACTGAAAAGTTTCTGGTCGTTTACAGAGCAACATTCGTTCAAAAAATCTGCTCCATTTGTTTGTGCAGCTTACAAATCACACAATCACACCCGCTATAATTCCAGTCATTTTGATGTTTAATTTGCTGTTAGCAAGTCTTTTAGTAAAGTGAGCTTATAAAGGAGGAGAAAAATTACTATATGAAGCCAAATATGAATATGAAATCGATATAAATAATTTGGGCATAAAACTGAATGACTCAATGATTAATATAGATACAGGGTGTTTCAAAAAGCATGTGCCCATTTTTCATGGCAAGATTCCTCACATTAAAATAAGATTAATTTTTATATTAACATAGGTCCGATTCTGCTTTATTTTGTAGCTACAGGGGTTAAAGCTGTATTTTTTTTCGATTCTTCCAAGTACCTTTAACCATTCGAATGAAATTTTGAGGGTAAAAGGTAAATTATAAGTGTATATTTTAATGCTAAAAAAGTGTTGACATATTTACCAAGGACATGGATATAGATTATTACTAAAATATTTTTCTAAAAAAAGCATGCACACCACTGACATTTTTTCTCTTGTTAGCAAAATAGCATAAGCCGTCTAAGGCCTCATTGGTGAAATAAAGCAATTTCATTAATTTGCTTTAATCCAAATCTAATATCAACCTTTAAAAATTGCTAATATTACTAACTTGCGAAAGTACACATTGACTCCTCATCAAAAAAATATGAAAAAAAGTTTTTATAAACATGGATAATGGAAATTCATAGTTTTAAAGTTGCAGGATAAAACTTTTTGAAATTAGGTCTTTTGTATTTATCTTAAATACCATTATTTTTTTATTTGAATTTGCTGTAGGTCTGACTAATAGTAATAATAACTAATAGCAGTAATATTTAATAATAAACTAGTAAACATATATAATTTATTAATTTTCTTTTATTAATAGTGATTTATAAAATTGCGTTTATCTCATCAAGGAGATCAAAATCGAAAAAATTTAAAGATAAAACTTTTAATTAGCATTAAGCAGCCTGTACAATTTTGTGATCAAAAGAAAAAAATCAGTGGCGTATATGTTTTTTTTCAAAAAATTTACCAGTGATAACCCATATGCACGTGCCTAATGAATCTATAGACACTTTCTTAGCATTAAAATATGTAGCACTTATAGTAACTTTTACCCTCAATCTCAATTTTTTTTTAATGAGCTGTAATTTTAAATATTTTAGCAATTTTACTTAATTGTTTACTAAATATGGCCGTATTAGATGATACATGCTATAGTAACAATATACCTGTGAATTTTTTCTATTATGAATAACTAAATGCCTATCATGGTTTTCGAAATTGTGAAAAATTTATATCTAATTTGTATCAACATTAGAAAAGAATTTGATTAAGAATCCACTCTTGGAATGTGCGACTTAAATAATTACATAGGATGTAAATAAAAACAGTCTTTACCCCATAAAAATACAATTTACTTTTAAAGACACTCCTAAAATATTATGTGATTTTATTTGGTTATACCTTCTGTTTAAGTATGTAAGTCTGCATATTTTTTCAACTTACGATAATATAAGATTTCATCTTAATTTTTTTCTTCTATTATGAATAACTAAATGTCAATCGTAAGTCTCAAAATTGTCAAAAATCTTCAACCAACCAATTCGAAAAAAACACAATCGGGAAGAATTTGGTTAAGAATCTACACCTGGAATGTCCGATATAAAAATTGTACAGGGTATAAATAAAAACAAACTTACCCCAAAGAAATGCAAATTACTTTTACTGATAATGTATGTATAAAAAATATGTAATAACTTTATTAAATTATGGGGATTGTAGGTTAATAAATAAAACAACAAAAATTGTATGCGATAAATATTTATATTTTTTATAATTAAACAGAATCGAACTGGCTTCCATGTGTCATACATATTCTCAACCAGTTTAAATATTTGTACATTTACCCAGAACAAAAAAAACAAAACATTATCATGTTACATATTCAACATCTTTTGCTTAAAGTCAAGAAATCATACACCCTAGTTTCGATCTATTTCTTGACAATACAATTGTTTTTTATGACCTTTAAGTACACATGAAGGTAAACTAACAAATTATATTGACGATTTTGAACTGGGATTTCAGCAATTTAATTGAAAAATTTAATAATATAAACCAGTCTCATGTTACATACATAATGATAACTATTTACATTTACTTGATTGGATTGACCACGGGAAATAATGTAGTCATCAAAGCACAACAGAAATATCCTTATTTGATGTCGTTTATCGTTTATTTTATATATAAATATGTATATTTTTTTGTGATGCTGTTAATACAGAGAACTTGTTACAATATATTGCAACAAGTTTTGTTTGTTTCTTTAATACAATAATTATTTTTCGATATGTCAGTTAATATAATATAGATTTGATGAAATTGTTTCTATAATAGAGAACAAGATTAAACATACTTGTACTTGTCTACAAAAATGATTTACTTTATTTGTACAAGAAAGTTTAGTCTATAGATAGAAACAAAGTCAACAAATAAATGCCTCTTTCTCTTAAACAATCGGACTAAACGTAAGTTTGATCGTAATTATTATCCTTTTGACTTTCTACATGACGCAACAATACCGAATTAAACTACCATGATGACTACAATATACATAAAATGGACATCTACTAACAGTACAGTGATTCTAAACCTAATATTTACAGTGGTTTATATCAATATAGCTAAATACTGGCATTGCCAGTGTCCCCTGGACACATCGATTAACACAGCAAACGAACATGGTTTAACACAGTGTTCTATCTTCTTCACAATTTTTTTAACAATAAAAATCATCCACGAACAAAATAATCTTAGTGTGTTGTAAACAAAAAAAACCTTAACTATATTTTACACTTTTCTTCCATCTTTTACTAATATAATACAGACATTACCGTTACTCTAAACATTAAGTTTCTTTTGTTTTTCTTTTAAATTAATAATAATTACTAATTACACAGCATAATATACGTAAATTTTTATATATATATAGTTGATATATCACAGAATGCATTGCCCCAACCGTGCTTGGCAAGAAATTTTTATATAAATATAATGAAGTTATAGTTTAACGTTTCAATAGATACAAATTAGATATATTTGTGTATTTTTGTTTACTCACATAGAAAAAATATAATGCCACTTGATATTATAAGTAAGTGATAATTATATACATACAGACCGGACCACTCTAGTAGTAACATAGGCAGAACCGGACGAATTAGCATATACCCGTCCGCCGGATAAAAAGCAGGCGAAAAAATGCGATAAAATAAAAATAGGTAGATATGTGATAAGAATGTTTCAGAATTTGTTTTTATTCGTGTTTTAATAGCCAAAACGAATACATAGATTCTCGCGACAGTTCTCGTGTAAAATTTATTTTTTAAGTAAAATAATGGATGTTTACGAAGTTCTTGAGAAAATTCAAATTGTAAAATGGTATTTCCAAAATAGGTCTTATCGGAATATACAAACAATTTTTCCACAAACTTTTGTAAACAGGCCAATTCCATCTTTACCTACTGTATCAAGATTTATTAATAATTTTGAAACACATGGGTGCGTGTTCCCACAAAAACACAAAAAGCCTGATGTGTTGATTAATGAAGAACAGGAGTTAAAGCAAGTATTCTTTCGTGCTACCGCGGATCAAAATCCCACGTTTTCAAGTAATTAAATTGCTGAGGTGGTTGTCCTGCCCACAATGCCCGTATTGTTCAAGAATATTTGAACAATACTTTTCCCAACCGTTTAATTAGTGGATATGGAACTGGTTTGTGGCCCGCTAGATCACCAGATCTTTCTCCCAATGACTTATTTTTGTGGGGTTATGTAAAATCCAAAGTGTATGGTCATAATAGGGCTAATAATCTGGATGAGCTTCGTTTAAAAATACGAGAGGTTTTCCAAACTATTAGCCCTAATATGTTAGCTAATGTCAGACGGGGATTTTACGACCGCCTAGGCTTCTGTCTAGCACAAGAAGATGGTCTTTTTGAACACTTGTTATAACTTTTTCTTATTTAGAGTAATATTTTATTTTTTTTTTGGGTTTAGAGAATTTATTTATATTTAGTATTGGCTTCTAAACACACTCAAATAATAAATATTTAAGTATTTTCATTTTAAATGTTACCTTAAGTGAAGGTAAACACTTAAAATGAAAATAATAAATACTCGGCACTCCTCGCGTTGTATTCCTAGTCTGTCACGACCGACCCGTCCAAGCACAACTGCAACTGCGTACTGCCTGACCAGCCGACTAGCCGGCAGTGAATCTCGAGTACGAACGCAAAACGGGTAAACGTAAATTCGTCCGGCAACTTGCTATGTTACTAGTAGCCTGGTCTTTTCTGTATATAATAAAGATTTATAATTTTAGCTTCTCTATTTTTTTAAGACATATCTACAGGTATTTTGAGAGACATTTAAAAGACTTACTTCAGTATGGTTCAAATTAAAATAATACTGGCTTTTAATACTTTAGTAAAAAGTAAATATAAATTACGTATTACTGAAGTAAGTCTTTAAATTTGCGTCATAAAAAAAAACCATTTTTTAGTTCATTATAAACCACTAGAATACTATATATTTATTCATCTGAGTTAAAAATTGTACCAATAATTATCATAAATTATTTTAATGAGCTGTATTTCTTCAAGTCACTGAGGGAATGACATGTTAATTGCTTACTAAAAGTTGATGCATTAGATGTTATAAACTTTGCTAACAATATACTTGTGTATTTTTTTCTATTATGAATAACAAAATGTGTATCATGATTTTAGAAATTGTGAAAATTTTATATCTAAGTTGTATCTATAATTGAAAATAATTTGGTTAAGAATTCACTCCTGGAATGTGCGACGTAAATAATTATACAGGGTATAAATAAAAACAGTCTTTACCCCATAAAAATGCAATTTACTCTTAAAGACACTCCTAAAATATTAAGTAATTTTATTTGGTGTAAACATTCATTTTAGTATGTAAGTCTGTATATTTATATAACTTACGACAATATGAGATTCAGGATTGCTAGAAGATTGTTTTACTCCAAATAAAACCTATTTTTTTCTCTTCAAACGTCGAAAAAACTTAACTTCGTAGTAAAATTGTTAGTAAGTTGAATAACGTCTATACCTGTCTGGGTATTTTTTCACTGAAATAGAAATCTAAAAAACAAAGTTTTTTTGTACAGTGGCACCGCCCTTGCATTTAAATGGCAACCAAACCAATCTTTCAGAAGCCTTTTTCTCGTTTATATTATGCTTAACAAAGCCGTAAGTTTGCAGAAGAATTGCCAATTTTTTTAAGTTTGTACAGGGTATCCCATTTTAGTTGAAATCATACAGTATCTCCGTTATTAGTGAAAATAGGTTGATGCGGTCTACACAAACCTATCCTACTTTTTGTCAAATGGAAGTTACTGTAAACAAAGTTTCCATACCCCTAAAAATATTTGCACTTATTTCATACTCACCCTGTGTATATTTATAATTAATTTATTTTTGTTTCCTAAAATATCTCGGTCAAGCTTAATCACTGTGTATTAGGTACACGAAATAAGTTCTACTAGAAACATTTTTTTCATCATATCTTTCATAATAGCTTTTCACATTTTCGACATCCTTTCAGAATATCGGAGATACGTGGGGTGTGTGCCAAACTGCAACACTTTCAAAAATATCCTGTAGCACAGAAGCGAAAAAGGCTATGCAAATTTTGTTTACAGGATCCCAATATCTTCACTAATAACAGAGAAATCGTATTTTATTCAAAATAGGACACCCTGTCCATAAAAAGGACGTTTGAAGAAAAAACTACTGAGTATAACTTTAATAAAAAGCCAGAAAAAAAAACTCCTTGCCGTATTAAGACTAGCCGAATAATAGGAACAGGTCCGTCGCGCTCATATCCCATATCATCGAACACGTTCTCCGAATTTCCCAGGACCACTTCAAGCGGCCAGTCCTTCCCTGGACGCGGCGGCCATGACCAATTCATCCCTCGGGGCAGCCTCGGCCGCCTTCCGGTCGAAGTGCAAGTCCCACAGCGCCGCTGCGGAGGGTGGCGGAACGAGCGCCCGCGCTTCGGGTTCGCTCGGCGGCCGATCGGGGGCACGTTCAGGCGATGGTGGTGCGTGCTGAGAGGAGGGACGGCCGACGACCTCTGGCGGAGGGTAGCCGAAGCCGAGCAGGCCGCCGCCAAACTTGGGAGATGGCGCGAGGCCGTTCGGGGGGTGAGGTGGCGGGCCCACTGAGGACATCTCGTTCAGCTGGAAAGAAACAGAAAAAATATTGTAGTTTTCTGTGTTGTTTGAGTGGAGAAATTAAGAAGTCGATTGGGATGGGTTAGATTTCTGTGATATTAGTGTTTGAATATCGGTGGCTAGATGGCGATTATATTTTTATTTGTGATTATTTTCATACACTTTGGAAGGATTGTCGAAAATTGGAGATTTTTCAACTTACTAACTTATATAAACGGGATATTAAAAAATGAACGTAAATAGACGTCCAATGTTTTTGATTTGTTTTTTTTTCAAATTCAGTATAAGTTTGAATTAAAGATAAAAGAATTAAATATTTCTCTATTTCAGAATTTTAGTAGCAACTGTGCAGTGCTAAAATCAAATATATTTAATAAATTACACTCAGATGCAAAAAGAAAAGTAACAAAGAAATTTTTGGTCAAATTTAAAGTGTTATATTTTTGTTATATATTTTTAGCTCTATTTTCATGAGTTTTTTACCAAGCTGTATATAATTATACCGTATGATCGAATAAAAACGGCATCAGCGATGGCTATGAAATTAAAAGCGCTGTCATTTTATATGTAAATTTATATGGGAAATGTCATCGATGTTCATTTCATAGCCATCGCTGACGCCGTTTTTATTCGATCATACGGTATCAACTTTAATTCGTAAACTCAGTGTTTTGTAAACTTTTAGTATTCGGCATATTATACAGGGTTAAACGAGGCAATGCTTGGCAGGAGGTTTAGAGGTCGCGAAGCGGTACCAGCAGCTTCATTAAATGAACTTCGCTTGGTTCTTAAAGAAGAATGGGAAAGCATAACGCAATATGATATATGCAGCCTCAATGACAGTATGAATGGACGTATACATGCAGCAATCAAACCAAACCAAACCAAACCAAGGGAGGCAATACAAAGTATTAGGGTATTTTTTACATTTGTTTCTGTTTATATACTTGAGTATTACAGATGTTTCCTTTAATATCGTTAGTTCTGTTATCGTTACGAATTTTTATTAAAACCAGGACTGTATCGTTAGTCTTTAACGTTTTTTTTAATTTAGTATAGAGTATCCAATGTAGCGTAATGTGACGTTAAGACGTTAATGGTCACCAAAACCATCTCGTCATAATAAAAAATTACATCAAAAAGTAATGATAATTGAAAAAATTGCAAATTGATCGTGATCGTGAGTTCATTTCGCTTTTAAAAACTAACCAAAGCATGTATTGACATGAATCAAAAAACAAAATGCTCAGAAGTCATGGTTGTGACCGTAAAATTATATTTTAGGAAAATTTTCACACGAAATTATTGCACAGGGTGTTTTAAAGTTAGGGTAAAAGAACAACCTCTTGATTAATCCTGTACATTATGCCAAATATTAAAGTTTATAAAAAACTTAGTTTACGGATAAAAGTTGATATAAATATATACACTTTAATAAAAAGTTCATAAAAATAGGGCTAAAAATAACAAAAATCTAACACTTTAAATTTGACCAAAAATTTCTCCGTTGCGTTTTTTTTGTTGCAAGACCCTGTATATACTACGAATTTGATTGATTTGATTCCAAACTTAGCTGTAGAACTAGTTAGATTTGACGAATTTAACTACTTTAATGTATTCTTTTGTGAAATAGTTACCTTTTGTTGCATGCCGTTAAGGAATGGTGCCGGGAGGTACGGGTAGAAGAGGTCTGGCCTCCGCTGGAGAAATTCTGAATCCTTGGGCGTCATGGGGATGGGCGGCAGGTCGAGGGACATGCGCCGCCCTCTGCGCGAGGCTCCGTTGCTCCACATATGCGTACCCATGTGAACCTGCAACAGCAAAATTAACCAAATTAACCCTTAAGCTATCGGAAATCGTATATTATCTATTGCGAAACATACAAAACTTTGGAAAATTACACCCAACTGTAGGTATAAGGTAATCAGAAAATAATTCATGTCAATATTTTTACCAAACCGCGAAAAAAGTTATAAAAAAATATAATATGAAATCCGTGGTCAAATCAAATTGAAAATGTACAAATGGATTGTTTACATTTTCCTTGTATATGTTGGTTCAAAACAAATCAACGCCTGTGGTTAATCTATCTTATATACATATATATAGGGTGTCCCAGTCTGAGCGTGCATTAGAAGTTTCTGCAGAACTACAATATCTAGTTTGGAGATTTTTTGTACATCATTGTTTTACAACGAGATCTATCGATTAAAATATTTCTAATATGGCGGCACTTCCGGAAATACCGGAAGTTGGCAGAAACTTTTTTATTTTAAACGGGTGCCCCCATTTTTTATTACATGCTTAAATTATCTGCAAAATTCTATGAATATTGATATTAAACACTCTATACCTAACATTAACCGTTTTTGAGAAAAAAAAATATTTTATATTTTTGGACGAAAAAAACTACCTCTCAAAAAAATTTGTATAACCTAAAAGTCAATTTTAGTGATTACCACAGCCACTGTGACATAAAGAGAAGATATGTGGCTCTCTTTTTCAAAAATTAAATTGTTCAAATGTCATATATTCATAGCGATTAAAAAATTCTCATAAATCATTTTCAAATGGAAACCTACTTATTTTATTTCACTAGTTAAAAGACTTTTCAGTTCGTTATTTTTTAACTATACATGTTCCTGTACCTAAAATAAATCGTTTTTAAGTTATTTAAGATTTAGTTTGAAAACGTATACTTTTCTTGATTTTATCATCTAGCTTCCTTTGACATCTGTGAAACAGTCAAACAATTTATTTCCATCTGTCAAAAAACAAATTGTCTGAATTTCCTGTATTATAAATACTGTTTAAGAGTTTAAAAAGGGTATTTATAAAAATATATCCACTTTTTCGCTCTTTAATGATATCTAATAGTTGATATTATTAATAATAAACCGTATGATAAAAAAAAAAACAGCGCAAAGTTAGCTTGGAAATGATGATCGATAACATACTGCTTTTTGAATCACTTGACGTTTAAAGTCATAGGCCACTTCAGTGGTTTCCAACCTTTTTGTACCTGCGCCCCAAAAAAAAGAAAAATTGTTGCGCCCCTTTAATTTTTCTAATAATCTAATTTCATAAATACTCAACTGATATTATAATTTACTAGCGTGTACCAGCGACTTCATTCGCGTCGAATTAATCATTTGTAATGGTGATGATAAAGCAAAGCAAGAATTTCCTTTAACATACAGACTGGATAAAATTTATGTATGCGAAAAAACAATATGGCGATATTATTATATAACGGTAATATTTGAGGGGTAGTTTCATCTCGTTGGAATTTGACTTTCTAAAAATCCGTTTGCCAAAAATAAGCTTTTTACGTCAAGCAGTTTAAGCAGAATCGTGGTTAAGAAATTACCCAACTTTTTGGAACACCCTGTATGATTTTTTAAAAAATTTCAAAATATGTTAAAAAAACAAATAAATTATGCTTGTCCAAGCGTTTTCCCGAAAGACTAACCGTTTTTTAAATAACAAATATTGTAATATTTGAGGGGCGTTTTCACCCTCTTGGAATTTGAGATTCGAGAAACCCCTCCTTATCGAACCTCTACACCCTAAAGTCGATCCGTTTTCCAAAAATCAGCTTTCAGCTTTAAACGTCAAGCAGTTTAAGCAGAATCGTGATTACTCAATGGTCATATTTTATGAAAAACCCTGTATAAATTTTTAAAAAATCTTATAATATGTAAAACAACAAAATAAAATATAGGTTTTTTCGAAAAACTCACCGGTTTTTAAATAAAAAATATTTTAATATTTGAGGGATAGTTTCACCCCCTTAGAATCCGAGTTTCGAAAAAATCCCTTCTTGTCGAACCTCTACACCCTAAAGTCGATCTGTTTTCCAAAAATCAGCTTTTTACGTCAAACGCTTTAAGCAGGATCGTGATTAATCAATGACCAGATTTTTCGAAACACCCTGTATACATTTTTAAAAAATCTTAAAATATGTAAAAAAACTAAATAAAATATACGTGTTTAAGCGTTTTTTCGGAAACTTGACCGTTTTTTAAATAAAAAATATTGTAATATTTGAGGGGTGGTTTCACTCTTGGAACTGGAATTTCGAAAAATCCCTTCTTATCGAACCTCTACACCCTAGAATCAACCTGTATGCTAAAATTGAGCTTCTTTCATTGAGTGGTTTGAGCAGGATCGTGATTAATCAGTATATCAGTCACTTAAGGATTTTATATATTAGTATAGATTTAATGGGCTACAAAATAATATACAACGTTATATAAAAATATACATAAAAAAATAATTATTTACTATAAGAAATAATAATTTTAAATGTAATAAAAACAAATCTTACAAAGATACAAAAAAATAATATATTGCTGATTCATTTCTTTGACACCCATTCGACTTTTTTGGTTTGTATTCGAAAATGATTTAGCTATTTCACAAAATAATAGCTACATCAGCTACCAAACCAAACCAAACCCCCCTTGCAAGCGCCCCACAGGTTGGAAACCACTGTACTACTTGTTAAAATCAAGAAAAATATACGCTTTAAAGCTAAATCTTAAATAACTTAAAAACGATTTATTTTCGGTATAGGAACATGTATAGTAAAAAAGTAACAAATTGAAAAGTCTGTAGCCATTATTATATGAATTTAATTTTTGAAATAAATAGCTACATGTCATCTCTTTTACATATCTACATGTCTACTCATCACTTAGAAGTTATCTTACAGAACATGTTTCTTTCTTTGTAACAGTACTTAAATCGAAGAAGAATAGAAAACACCTAATTATAACACAAGTTCTTCCAAAAAATGAATATGAATAAGAGATGTTAGTGTTGCATTAGTAAGCTAAAGCCCACCGTATACGTACCTTCAAGTTGCCCTTGGTGGTGAACGCCTTCTGGCACACCGTGCACCGGAAGGGCTTGTCCCCCGTGTGCGTCCGCATGTGGATCTGCAGCGCCGAGCTGGACGAGAAGTTCTTATTGCACACCGGGCACAGGTGCTTGTTGGATTGCAAGCCTGCAAACACACACACCACACGAAGGTTAGCTTAGCCCACAACCTAGCTCGAGTTAGTGCAAGCGAGACACTCGTTTGGTCTTAGATTAGATAATACGGAAAAGATACAGCAGACCTGGTTTAAAACCACCGACCGCAAGATAATAGGTATTTATTATACAGAGTGTTTCAAAAAACATATGCCACCTCTCGTGGGGAGATTCTGCTTTGTTTCGTAGCTAATACTAATTTTTCATTTTTAATGACATTAGTCAGTGGCGCACAGTTTTTTTCTAGAAAAATGTTCCAGTGATAACCCATATGCATGTCCCTGGTGAATATGTCCAACACTTTTTTAATTCTAAAATATGTAACACTTATAGCTTATAACTTTTACTCTCAAAATTTCATTCGAATCGTTAAAAGCACTTAGAAGAAAATTATAGTAAAACGAAATAAAGAGACAAATAACGATAAAAAACAAATAAAAACTTTAACCTCCTGTAGCAACGAAACAAAGCAGAATCGGACATATGTGGAAATAAGAAATAAATCTTATTTTTACATGAGAAATCAATCTCCCTACGAGATGGCACATGTTTTATGAAACACGCGCTGTAGAATAAATTACATAATAATAATGTCATAATGTGATATCGTGCTGTATCTTTTTTTGTATTCTAATCTAAGGGTTTAGTTTTTAAGTTTTTTTGTGAGCGAAATGATTTATACAAATGATGATATGTATTAATTCAGATAAATAATAAACCTTACTGTACAAAGCAAAGGTACCCAAGATATATAGAACAGATGTAAATAAAAAAATGCTAGATTATCACTTTTATATTTATTAAAAAAAAAATATTAACGATCGGCTATTTTTTTCTATTAGTGTAGGTGTAATGTTTATTTTTTTCTGTATCAATAAAAAAATATCGGCTTTCAAAATAGATTTTGATATCATCTCTGTTAATTTACAAGATCTTAGAGTTTTTGTTTTCTGGTCATTTTTAAGTTTTATCATCGTCTTTACGTGTTTTTTTTAATCTGTGTTTAGACGTTGTGACACTCTTTTAATCAAAGTAAGACAAAAACTCTGCGCTATAAAATAATTTATAAAATGCATGTTTTATCAAACTTACCGCAAAAATTAAAATATAACCTTTCACAAGTTAGTATTTGATTGGCATATGAATAATGTTCTATTCTGTTAACTTTTTTCTAAATATTATATTTTATTTTATTTATTAATAATGTTATTTAACTCCTGTTTACGTAATTCCTACCTAAATATTCTCAGAGCAAATCGAGTTATTTAACAGTTTTTCTGCTTTTATGAAAATCCTCAAACACTATCCCTGACACTCCTATATATGTATCAATTTATCCTAAGATATAAGCTAAATTCTGAATTTGAAGATATTTTTTGTTAAACCATGTTCCTGATAAATCATATACGAATCATAAATAGAATATCTTAACATAATACAACTTTATTTTAAAAATCTGTTTTAAATTTTAAAACAGCATACTTTAATAGTTAAAAAAATAAGCTTACCAGGTTACTATAAATCATGACTAAACAAAATAAATAAAAGTTAAAAGAAAGTATATATAATAAAAAAAATACTGATGAGGATATTGCAATCTTTCTTTATTTGTACCAAGGATGTATGCTTTAATTTTTTCAAGTTTTAAAAGAACTAGACAATGAACAAAAAAAAACAGTTTAGAAACATGTATCCTTGCTGAGCGATATCGATTATATCAATAAAAAAAAATTTAGAACAATAGATGCAGTTAATTACAAATAACAGTAATTTTATAAGAAAATAGATGGTTTTTATTCTAAAATTAAATGTTCCTTGGCATTATCATTTATATAAAACAAAATAAAAAAGAGACTAATCAATATCGCAGTAAAATAATTATGTAGTCTACCTTCCAAAATAAAAAAAAATACAAATTTAAAATATCTATTGACAGTTTTTATTAGACAAGAACGATGTAAAAATAAACGTTTTGGACCACAAATATTTTACGAATCCATCAGAACAATGGCTGGTATTAATTTTTTAATAAATCTCTTGGCACTGACAAAACATTCTGACACTGCCAGCACACGAAAACCATAAACAAATATTTTAGTCGTAAATATTGTGTCAATTCTCCTTTATATATAGCGACACATCATTTATTTATACGTCAAATAAATTGTTATTAAAATTAATGCAAACATTATTTATTAAATCGTGATGAAATAAGTTTGTAATATATTTAGTTGTAATATTTCGCTTGAATTAAAACTTATATTCTTAGTACACAAAAAGAATGGCTGCAATATCCTAATAAGTATTTTTTTTTATAATCCACAAGGTGTTTCAAATCTCTTATGTTAAAATATTCTATATTTAGTAAATGATTCGTAAGGAACAGACATTAACAAAAAAAAGGAACAACTCAAAAAACTATTATTCTGCTAAATATTTTGCAAGAAAAAGCAGAATAATTTTTATCAATCCTGACAAACTTAAAAATAAACTCAACTCACTTGGTGGTCTTTTAGGTAAAGGCAACTCCGTCTCTGTCGGTTCCCTCTTGATCTGAGCCTGATCCTTCTGATCCTGTTGCGGCCCTTGATGATGATGGGGCATATGCGGCTGCGAAACAGGAGGCATTTGAATCTGTTGAGGCGGTTGCTGTTGCTGCTGTTGCATCTGCTGCTGTTGCTGCTGTTGTTGTTGGACTTGTTGTTGTTGCATTTGTTGTTGTTCGCTATCATTTGAATGTTCTCTCAGAGGTAAATTCGGTGGCAGAGGTGTTGAATCGTCACCGCTTAGTGAAGGAGTCTTATTTTCGAACATGTGCTGTGGCATGTCTCTGATTTTATGCGTCAGCATGTGCTGTTTCATGTTGCCCTGTAAGAAAAACACGTTGGTAATGTTAGAATGGGACTGAATGAAGTCTAGAGTAGCAAAAGATATTCTCGATTGTATAGTCGCTATTTAATTTACCATTTTGTGGTTAATTAATGTACCCCAAGGTCAAAATTGTTAGATTTACTATAAAGTTTACGATCTTAGATGAACCAACGAGATGTCTGTAAATAAATGAATGGAAAAAACAGGAAACAATAATACATCTTTATGAGTAACGATTAAATCACAATAATTACAAAGGAAATTCAATAATACCGCTACCCGTATTTTCTAGGTACTGGCTACAAATATTCTATTCCTTTGAAATTTATATTTATTGCGCTATTAAGTCATGTAAAACATTAATGTTGTTTGTCTTTGTTGTAATATGTTCTGAAGGTATATCGATTAGACATAAAATTCTTTAATTCTTTTTACGAAGGACAGAAAAAACCTGTGGCAAGTAAAGAAAATTAATTTAGCGTGATGTAGTAAAGCCTAAAAGTTATAGGCATTGAAAAAGATATTGAGTTGCTAATATGTCATTTATTTTTTATGAATCCATTAAAAAGAACGTAACATTTATAATAAAGCCTTAATTGTTCTTTTGTATAAAGAAAAATATTATTTTAAATCTACTTTTTATCGTTTTTATATATTAATTAAAGAAAAAGAAAAAAGTTAGTTTTATATGATTTAATGTTTTAATTTGAAATTCAAAACATTGTCCCAAAAAAGTTGAAGAAAAAATGTCTTTATATTTAAAAATGTCATGTAAGAACATTATTCATAAATACATAGAATAGGAAATTAGAAATATTTAATCAAAATTTCTTAAAAATGATAATGGTGACAAATCTCTAATACACTGGATGTATTTGAAGTTACAGAATATGAAGAGCAACTTTGTACAGTTTATACTATACAGTTTATGCATTTTTATTATAAAAATCTGAAATAATGAAAACGGTAATAAAAAATTTAAAGCATTAGTTATATCTATAGATCCGAAATATGAATATTTTGAATAACCACTTAAATCTCCAATTTTAATCAAAAATATTTTTAAAATGATAATGGTGAAAAAACTTCTAAAGCATTCATTGCATCTGGAGATGCTTAATAGGACAAGCAGTCTAATAATAAGATATCTCCAATTTAAGTCAAAAATATTTAAAAAAATGAAAACGGTAATAAATTTCTTAATGCATTTATTGTATCTGGAGATACTTAATAAGAAGAGCAATCTAATAATGAATATCTCCAATTTAAATCAAAAATATGTCAAAAAATGATAACGGTGGTAAATCTCTTAGAGCATAGATTGCATTTGGAGATGCTTAGTAAGAAGAACAATCTAATAATGAGATATTTCCAATTTTAATAAAAAAAATATTTAAAATATGATAACGGTGATAAATATCTTAATGCATTAATTACATTTGGAGACGCATAATAAGAAGAGCAATCTAATAATGAGATATCTCCAATTTTAATCAAAAATATTTAAAAAACTGACAACGGTAATAAATCTCTTAACGCATTCTTTAGAACTGATAATGCTAAATAAGAAAAGCAAGCTAATAATGACAGATCTCCAATTTTAATAAAAAAAAATATTTAAAAAAATGATAATGGCAACAAATCTCTTACCGCAATATTTAGATCTGATAATGCTAAATAGAAAAAGCAAGCTAACAACGACTATACAAGTTGTCCAACCCAAACGGTGGACGGAATACCCTTTTGCTATCTCTAGAGAAGCGAGTGGCGCGGCTTACCGCCAGGAGCATCCAGGAGGAGGCGTATCCCGGACTCATCGGTAAAGGGAATTCTGTAGGGATGGAGCGAGGTGGAGGTTTTCTGAATCGAGCGCTCCAGGGCTTCGCATCCTCCTGGATACGCCTCTTTTTGTCGCACTCGCAACTATCCTAAAATGACAGGTCACAATCAAAATCACACTTGAATAGATAGAGTGAGAGAGCGAGAAACGAATGATGGATGAAATGGGTCAGTTTTTTTATGGAAAAATATGTTAAAAATATTAACAATCGAAATAAAAGAATGTAATTGTTATGTGTTAGTAGGTGATCTATTCAAGTTAAGGTTGTAAAGTATCTACAATAATTATAAGAAATCGTTGAATATTTGCAGTGTAGAAATATATATTTAGTTTGAATAAAAAAAGAACATGAAAAGTAATTTTTCAATATATTCACTAAAACACCAAGATAAGGCAAATATATCTGTTCATAAAAAGAAAGGTACAAAGAATAAGCAGGATGTTCTTTAGTTGGTTCACATGTGCACGTGGATCCCCAAATTTAATGCATCTTCGTGAGAATAAAGCTTCATTCAGAACCTCGCAATTAGTGGAATAAATTAGTGGTTTCAATTCGCGTAGAAGTTTGTTTCTTTAATTTCAATTTAAGCATTCAGAACGTTAAAATTAGTGGTAGACCAGTTAGTACAAAAAGTTATCAAACTTTTAACTTTTCCACTAATTTTACTTCAAAATTTGCGAGAAATGTCATTTTTGCCTTTGATTACCTTCCGTCAAGAGAAATTCTGATTAGAAATCAAAAGTTGATTGTTTTAAAAGCTAAATATTAGGCTTTCTCTATAGATACAACTGACTAACGCAAGCTGTTGATAGGATATTCTATTAATTTTAATTGTGTTTTTTAAACAAAAAGTTTAAAGAGTAATTGAAACCACTAATTTATTCCACTAATTGCGAGGTTCTGAATAAAAGTTAAAACTCATAATTTGTCCTTTAATTCTATTTCAAAAAATATTCATCGTATATAGACTTAAAATTTGTATAGTAAAAATAAAATATGTATGCTGCTACATATTGCAGGTAGAGGAGGGTAATTTTATATAAATTCAATATCAATATCATCGGACTAAGCAGCAGAAACCTTAAGCTCTTTAAGATCTTTTCTTTAAAAATACAGTTCTTTTTAAGCAGTAAATAAAAGTGCTTTCATTTCGATACGCTCTTCCTAAATATGTGAAATTTCCTCATAAGAATGTGCAAAACACAGTAACGTACTAAAAAAATGCAGACGGATGCCGCCAGAGGCGCTGCCTTCGTCTATTTTCGTCGGTACTCGCTCATTTATTCGATATTTATTGCGGCGTTCTATGCGATTTCGATCGAAAAAAACGACGCACTCCGTTCGCGAATGGCAGAGATTCCTGGTACAGCTTTCGCGAACTTTGTGCGCCTATTTTCGAACGCGTTTATTATTCATCCATCTCGGCGGACCGAAATAGTGCAGGGCGAAAATTAGCGGCATACCTTTCTGCCGTAATAATTACAAACGAGATTTGCAACGTGCTGATTCATTTAGAGCGCCTTGCCGATTTCGTTCTATCTTTGTTGTGAATCGTTCCGTTTTGGTAAAGAGTGAATGCCACGGAAGTGTCAATGAAGTCTTAAGAGTCCATTACGCTTACTGTTCGGGTCGCTCTCGGAGGTCGGGTAAAGCGGGTGTGTGGCCGAAGGAAATATGTATTATATTTCAGAAATCTGCCTAAGGCCTCACAACACTTCAATCAGATCCTGTCGTGTTAAGCCACACCTAAAATACCAAACACACGTGCTTTGATTAATGCTTGATTAAGGTTTGGGGAGCTTCAGCATTTGCCATAAAATAGCGAGCAATTTATTACAAAACCATATAAATTATATATCACTGTAATCACAAAACTTCAATCTATATCCGTATTGTAACGGAATTTTAAATTATGTCTTTATTTTCGTGAAAATTTAGTCCAAACATAAGGAATATTTTGTTGATGTTTGACCATCAAAATCTTAAAAATAAAGAAGTTGTCTAAAAATGTGCTACAATACTATATAGAATATAGTATAATCATTTATGTTTAATTTCCTTCTTTCCTTCTTCATTTAAAAACGTTAAATGCCGAACGCTTATTTTGCTACTTTTTCGGATTAGTGAAATGGACACTTAAGTTATTTCACATACAAGAATGCTCTTATATTGTTCGGTTGTGTCAATTTATTTTGTGCTTGGAAATTGATCTTCGGTCCTGTATTATATACTCTATTATCTATAGAGACGATCTATCTATAGATGATCTTTAATTTTGATCGTTTGATCCCTTTTCCTCTATTTTAGCCACCATATGCATTTTACTAATTCATATGATCGAAGCTGAGACATTACTAAATTCTATGTAGAATAAGTTGTACAATAATTGTTTGTACGCAGTTGTTTGTGCCAATATCATGCGTTCTGTCATCTTTCATCAGATTGATTTCTACCATGTCGTTTGATCGGTTTGTTCTCTGCTCATTGGAATATTACATCTATAATTGGTCAAACCTTCTAATCCCGCACATTTTGCTTCCCGACTGATGAAACTAGATGTATTCCGCTGCCTCGTGTGCACATATAATCCAGCGTCGGATTGAGACTTCTGATTTCACGAACTACAAAAATGATGCAATATTTAAAGAGAATAAATTTTAGTAGACAGGGTTTTTAATTTTTAATAAAATAAGATTATTGAAGATTGAATTTGGGAAGGGTCTGTTTTGGCCTAATGTTTTTCTCTGAAATTGTGCATTCCTTAAGTATTGAACAACGTGCCGCTAGTAGAGTTCAGCATTTAACGTTTTATGTAAAACTGGCTAGGTATCTTTACACAAATGAAGAAGGAAATTAAAGATATAGGATTATACTATATTTGGATTATAGCACATTTTTAGACAACTTCTTTGTTTTTAAGATTTTAATGGTGAAACATCAACAAAATATTCCTTATGTTTGGAGTAAATTTTCACGAAAATAAAGACATAATTTAAAATTCCGTTACAATACGGATATAGATTGAAGTTTTGTGATTACAGTGATATATAATTTATATAGTTTTTTAACAAATTGCTGGCGATTTTATGGCAAATGCTGAAGCTCTGCAAGCCTTAATCAAGCCTTAATCCAAGCACGTGTGTTTGAATTTTGGGTGTGGCTTAACACGACAGGATCGGGCTAAGCCTTAGGTAGATTTCTGATATATAATATATATCTTCTTCGGCCACACACCCGCTTTACCCGACCCCTGAGAGCGACCCGGACAGTACAGCGTAATAGACTCTTAAGACAATATACAAAATCAATAGTGACAAAATTATCAAATGCTATTTAAATAAATAAAAAATCTAATATAAAACATTTTAAACTATGATTTTCTACACTCTTTACACCAAAAAAGAATACAAATCTATTGATTTTCATCGTCCATTTTTCTCCGAACAAAAAAAAATCGAAAAGACGTTAAATTCTACCGCTGACAAATCTAATCCTCTACATTCTTTATCAGCGACTTATAAATATGACACGATCGAAACATTATTCTAAATTTATTCAACACAATAGAGATCGGGAGACTGCCGTTTTGGCCCTCTGCCAGCCATAAAGTTATGCCGTATGTCTAAGTGGTCTATTTTTGATGGAGATCCGTACGTATACGTATTTTTGTGTTAAAATGTATTTTTCAAAGTGTCATCGTTTTTTATGTCTTTGTCGTCGGTTTTTTGTAGAGATCGTCATCAGGAACAGGACAGAGAAAATACATGTCTCGTTTTTTAGTAGCATTTCATTTGAGTGTAAATCCAATATACATGTCATAAAAAGAATTCTGTTTTTTGCCATTAAAAGAAAATCTTATTCTATTTCGGTTTTTTCTCTTACGTGAAGAATAAAGGTTGATTCCCACTATACATTCCATATCAGCTCCCTTCCGTTTAAATAAAATATTATATATCATGTAAATGAATAGGACAATGCACACTATCCGTTCCTTTTCCCTTCCGTTCCGTATCCTTTCCTTCCATACATTTATCATCTCCCCATGACCCGTTTACTGTGCCGATCTCCTTTTTAATTGATTTTTGCCTGACGACCAGTTCTTCAACTGTCTTGTGCATTCCGACATCTGTTATCGAACAGCTTTGCAAGTACTAACATTTTTACTTTCAAACCAGCATTTTCTAGGTCATGAAACTTTGTCATAATTGGACCTCCTTCTTATCTTTTTCCGAGATCCAAATGGCTACCACCAAATTTAGTACACCTTGTACTGCAAAACTATTCCTTAGATATTCTTGGAGACATATGTCTTCCTTGTGTATAACCATCACTTGTCTCAAGAGATAATAACTTTGTTGCGTAATATATGAGCAATTGAGAATTTTGCTAGGTTTAAGCCTTAGAATTTTTTAGAATTTAGAATGAGTGGGAGGGGGGTTAATCACTGCGACCTTACAGATCCATTGTGTCCCCCTTTCTTGAGTCATAACTCATTATACAGTCCCAGGGCTTTGACAAAAGCCAGTATCTAGGACGGTTTTATAGAGGGTAGTTCTCCATCTCCATTATCAGTCGTACCAAAATTCATGGCACGAATGGTTGTCGTCTCGGCGCACTCAGTGATGAGGTGTACTGGTGTTTCCCCATCTTCCCCACAGAATCTGCATTCGTCGTTTCTTCTTAGTTTCAATATACTGAGGTGTTCATTGAGGAGACAGTGTCCTGTTAAAAACCCCGTGACAATCCGAAGATTGTTCTTACTTAAACCCAGGAAGATCTGTGATTTTTTTTGATCATAAGCCCTCAGAAACTTCTTCGAGTGTCTTAGACCGTTGCAAGATTTCCATTCCAGGTTGCGGATGGAATCTTCCAAGTTCTTGTGTTCCGCCTTGAGTTGGTTACCACCTGGAAAGCAGAACGGTTCTGGTCCAGTTAGTGGCCTAACCTTTAAGCCTTAACGTCAGATACCAAAATTCGCCTTAAGGCTATGATGAAATAAATAAGATTGGCAAAAGTACTATTAAGTTTTTTTGTATTATAATTCAATAATTGTTTTATACTTTTGGAAGAACTAAATAATTCGTTTTTCTGTGGGACCCAACTAAAAAGTATGTTTCTGCTTACGTCTAAACCTAACTTGTATCAACTAACACTTTCGAAGTACTAGCTGCATTAGTATATCCAAGTCACGCTATAGAATCACTGATATTAAATTTAACACTGTCCAATAAACCAAAATCACAGTATCGCTTATCCCTACTTCTAGGTATCTAACATATTTTGTTTTCTTAATTTAGAACAGATATATTTGTTTCTTTGGCGTTCCATAATGATGAATTAGCTAGGAAGAATTTTAAGATCAGTAAAGTTGTTGAAATATCCTACTATTAAAACAAAATAATATAGAGTTTATACCACCCAGAACTTGTTATAAAAGACCGATTAAAACATTTTTAACTTTGACGAAAAATATGTTTGAATGAATATGAAGTATTTTTTCTTTAATTAAACTGTCATGTTTCTTTTTCTAAATATTTCACTACGCAAAATATCAAGTAAATTTGAGTACTGACCTTTGTGGAGAAACCTCTATCACACACGGTACATTTAAATGGCCGTTCTTTCGTGTGACTCCTGTAATGTATCTCCAAAGCTGAATTGCACGCAAACGTCTTGAAGCAAAGGCTACAGGTGGTGTTACCACGTCCTGAAAATACACAACACAAATGTCAACACAAATAACGAGAAAATTTAAGCTTGATATATTGGCTGCAATGTTACTTATCCCAGTTAATCTTTTGACAAATTAAAAAAGAGATTATTTTTGGAAGACGTTTTAAGAGTTAGGCATATATATTTCTGAAAATGACGTCTTAAAACCTAATGATCAGAAACTAAGATCTTAATTTAGTAAAACCGAAAGCTATTTTTTAGTTTTAACAAATTAAGACATGAAGATGGCCTTAATAATCTTAAATAAATCTTCAGGCAGTTCAAGATTTAATAGATTTAAATAAATCTTCTTCTTACCTAGACTTGCTCCAGGTCCCACAGCTAACCTCAGAGGACTGAATGACGTGGACGTCAACACCGATGACGTCAATGAGGATAATGCCGAGGTCATGAGCGGTGTGGCGTTCTGGGTAACCGGAGGAAGAAGTCCAAAGGCCGAGAACAAAGATGGTGGAGGTCCAGGACTTGGACTCGCGACTGGCTGATTTTGATTTTGGTTCTGTTTGGGCGTGAGGTCCAACGCTCCCATTGAGTTGCACTCGGACAGCGTTGGACTACTGGCTTGTTGTGAGGAAGGTGGCCTAGGAATCTATAAATGAACAGTTAGTTTATTTCATTTATACATACAGTGAGTTAAATTAATTTTGGATAAGTATGGAACAAGAGTTATTTTAAGTTTCTTTGAAAATTGCGTTGTTTTCGTGAAAATTACTAATAATTCGGTTAAAATTTCATGTTTTTTAGTATATTTTTAATCGTTAATTTATGGTAGTAACCTGTATTAAAAGTTCTTGAAAAATATCTAACTATATTTTTGTTTAGATAAAAATCTATACTGCTATATACTAACCCTGGTCACTTTATTTCCGTTGCTGTATATTTTAATGCATACGACAGAGATAACTATATACGACCAGTTGACAGACAGAGAAACAAAATAAAAAGCATCATACAGAGTTGCCGGTTCGTACGAGAAACAAAAAATAATAAACGAAGATAATATATCTAAGTTATTCAATAATGCTCATTTCTGTAAGACAGTTGTTTAAGAATCTATCACAGCTATGGTAACATGAGTAACTTAATTGTAAAAAATAAAATTCCAACCCTAGATGCAACCTTTTTCGTAAACACCTACTTGTGCGGTTTGAATTTTGATGCAAAATCCGCCAATACCGCATGCATAGAAGAAATGTATCGACCTAATTTTTATCTCTTTTTAATACATGTGATATTTCATTCAAGCTGTATACATCACTGTCTTACACGTTAAAATCCAGACCACGCAGTTTTGATGACCAGATCTGTATAATATTATAGCAGTATTTTATCATAGTGTCTTTTTCATAATTAATCATACTAAAATAAGATAATTTATTTAGTATACATTATGTCCCAGATTTACTTTTTTATTAAAGTAATAGATTGATATTATTAATATAGATTAACGTCATATTTTTGCCGTTTTAAAATGTTAAGGAAGCATAAAATTTATAATCAATTTTTTCGTAGCAATGAACTAAATAAATCTTGTGCTTCTTTAACATAGTAAAAGAGCAGAAAAGTATGACTTTAATCCAAATTAATAATTATCATTTTTTATCAAAGAATGAAAATGTAAAAATGGCATTACCATAGAAATGCGACTTTTTTTAATTTTTAACACTTTGGTAAAATTCGAGTATACTTTCATATTTTTTAATTTTTCTCTAAGACGATATGAAAATTTAAAAATGTATAAATAGGATTAGCCATTTCAGAACAAGCAAAAACTTTTATAAAGACTACATTTTTCTCAAAAAGTTCATAATAAAAAAGTGTTTTCTCTTGTACAGACAATCCGGTACATACTGTATCTATAAAAATATTTTTAAAATGTGGAATTACATTTCCTTGCAATTTGTTTTAAAATATTAGGTAAGTGAAAGCAAATAGAAAATCTAATATGGAGAATTATATAATCTCATAAAATATATTTTTAAAAAGAGCAAACCAAGTTAAAAACAAAAAATACCGGTTAAAACAATTATTAGAATATAATTTTTAATATGCAGAAGAAACACTAGATAATTGATTTTAGAGTATTTGGTTTTAATAAGAATATTAAAATCTGTTAATGATGACACAAAAAATATTTATTAAATACATTTTTAATTAAACTTTAAAAATAAAAAAGATTAAATTTTAAATAAAATAAATTTTCCAGCAAATATATAAATTAAAGTTTGGACACCACTGACCAGATAACCCAAAAATAGAATCAAGGACGCGCAAAATAATTTAAATTTAAAAATAAACATTCAAGTTTACTCACCTGGACGGGTGTGGCAGTCATCCTATTATTCTGCGGAGACTGCATTTCAGCACTTTCAGGGCTGGTCACTGACCGATTTGGAGACTTCTCCCCATTCTGCATATTGGGAGGGGACATCATCACTCTCGCTGAACTCAAATCTTCCGTAGAACAATGTAGATCACTATTATTGAACTGCGATGACATAGAAGTACTGGGATTAATCGGATGATTCAATCCAGAAGGCGAAGAAGAAAACTGAGGCATAATTTGATTATCCGTGTTCGTACTCATGTCATCATCATCATCGTCATCATCATCCATACTCTCGTGCTCCGATCTACCGTCTTTATCAAACTTCATCCCAAACAATCCAGCATTTCCTAACGGAGACAGACCCGGTACCGAAAACCCAGGTTCAAGAAACGGATGAATCGAACCAGGTAGTCCAGGAAATCCTCCAGGAGACGGAAAGTCCTTAACTTCCGCTGCCTGAATTTGCTCAGGAGTGAGATCAGTGGGTTCGCCAGTATGCAGGCGGATATGTTGCTGTAAAACTAAAGCGTTCGTGAACTTTTTATGACACACCGGACATTGATGCAACACCCTCATCGGAGGTTTCGCTCTATGCACTCCCATGTGAGTCTTCAAGTTACCCTTCGTGGTAAAAGCCCTTCCGCAAATCTTACACTTAAACGGCCTCTCTCCTGTGTGAGTCCTGTAATGCATCTGGAGAGCACTCTTGCACGATAACACCCGATGACATATTACACACTGGTTCGGATCTGAAAGTTTATGCTCTATGTTGTCCACCAACTGTTGGAGCTTGCTGGTTTCTGAGGTCTTTGTAATTTCAATTAGGCTTTCCCACGAGTTGTCGTTGCTACCAGGTCGTGGTAACAAGTTCGTGTATATTGCTGGGTCTTTCGTTATATCTGGAATGGGAGTAGTTGGAAAATGTCCTAAACTTCCTGACGAGGTGCTGCTAGGAGGTGAACTGGTATGACCCAGAGAAAAAGTAGCTGGCATCCGTTGACCAGTTGATATACTCAGAGGAGCTGTGATAGAGTTAGAGCGATTAGAGAGATTCTCCGGCTCATCTTGCATGATTTCTGAATGATTATCCGGACTCCTTTGTTCTTCTTCATTACTAAACTTGCTCTGATTACTACAATCATCATATGTATTGGGAGAACCATACCGTTCAGGTTCATTCTCATGATCGTGTTCCTGATCGTTAGGTTCTTGTTTCGGTGTCATATTCGACATTTCCTCTTTCCGAGGTTCCTCGTTATCTTGTTTGGGTTCTTCACACTCTGGTTCACTTTTACAAGCCATGTTCTCCCGAACTGGAGAAGGAGATCGTTGTGGTTTTCTCAAATCTGCCGGTGCTTCCTGTTCTTCCCTCTTGATAAACAACGGATGAGGTGGAAACAGTCTGTGAGGAGGCGTGTGAGGTGAAGGCTGTAATCGACTGTTGATTAGTTCCGGTGGAGGAGGCACGGGAGGTCGATACAGGGGTAAACTCGTGGGAGGAAACGGATGACTTCCTGGAGGAAAGCTTAGATGAGGCGGATGTGGTGGTCCTCCCGGTGAGAGTGATTGTTGTCCTAACTGGGCTAAGAGTGGAGGATGATATTTATCCAGGTGCTCCGGCACAGGATTCGGGTTCATTTTGATATGTGGAAACTTCGCACTGTGTCTTTGGAAATGTACTTTCAAGTTACCCTTCGTGGTAAATCTGCTACCGCACACGTTACACTTATAAGGTCTCTCTCCCGTATGAGAACGAATATGTATCTGTAAAGCCGAATCCGAACCGAACACTTTACCACAATACCGACAACGATGCTTAAAGAACGGTTCATTTCGTCCCTTTGAGTCGTAGGGAGACATTGATCCTTTGCTCTTCCTAAAAGCCAGCTCGTCAGCTAAGTTCGTAGCTAACAGTCCTTGACTGGCGTTATCCAACACTTCCTGAGCTCGTTTCTGGAGCATTTCCAGAGTATTCGGTTCTTCGTGTAAGGGGATATCGTTGCTGTGTGTGATTATAGTCGATGCGAGTGATGAGGATATCGAACACATTGGAGGTTGAATTTGTGAAGGTATGCTGGGTGTGTTTATGTTGGCTTCCGGTTGGGGTTCTGCCATAATGACGGGTTGACTTATGGGTGCAGGTGTTGTACACGCTGGAGACGGTTCTCTGGAGATTGTTTTTGGTGGTGGAGAGTGAACAGGTGATCGAACGGGAGAATTTTCAGGTTCGTTCTCGTTTTCTGAAGGTGGTGAAGATCCATCATTCTGTTCGTCTTCTTTGCTCCTGTCTATTTGAAGCTGGTGTTGGAGCTGGTTGATTAGTTGAAGCTGGAGAACTTGCTGGTGTTGTAGAGTGAACAATGTCGATTGCAAGACGGCTAGTTCTTGGAAAGCTACTTCGTTGTCGGGGTTGTTCGCCATCGCCGTGGCAGCGAACTGGGCTACGGCGACTTTGGTGTTTTGTAGGGCTTCTAAAGTGACGTGACCGGGAGCCATGGGTAAGGGAAACGGAAAATTGATTCGATTTTCCTCCGGCGAGCTCTCGTCCACGCTGTTATTGTTGGCGGCGTCCTGTCTGTGCCTTCGCATCCTCTCCAACCTCTTGCCTCCAGTATCGTCTTCGTCTTCCTCGTCCCCCGACACTACCATGTCCTCGGGGTCGGAATGCGCGGGATCGTCGTGCTTGATGGCCTTCTTGTCGCACTCGCCTTTGTGCGTCAGGTACTCCCGCAGCTCGGTGAACTGTTCTTGGCAACGCTGACACATCAGCACCTCGGGTACGGCGAGGTCTTCGGCACCGGTCGTCGCTGCCGCTGCGGCGAGGCCATCTGCGAACAAAACCAAGTGGTTAGGAGGGCTAGTAGTACGGAAAAGTTGGTGGCGCGCGAGTCGTCGCAGCTCCGAACACATCGCGCGTCGCTCAGAGAGTGGCGGTGGTGGGAGCGCCGACTTGCATAGGCGAGCGCCGCCGAGATATTATTAAATGAGATATGAAAAGAGTGGGAGAAGCGTAGGGGGCCAGTGGCGCAGGCGTGCGGGTTATGACAAACGAGCGGGTGCGAGGGACCAGTCGCCGGGCCGGTTATGACAGGGGGGCGGGTCCAGGCCGATCATAAATAAGATTCACTTGTTGCGCCCGGTTCATAACGACCGCCTACCGGCGCTACGCCCCTACGATATTTCATATCTATAAAGCATATAAGAGGGGGGAAGGGGAGGGTCGCGGCGCGTCGGATTTCTGGTTGTTTTACGGGTCGGCGCGCCCGCCGGCACTGATTTTATCGATCGCGGGAGGCTTATTATTTATTTGGCTCGGTGGGAAATGGGTCGCGGTGTGGGAATAAGGAAATCGTGTGTGTTTTCACCTAGAACTTATTTCACTTGTCGAGTTTATACAGAACGCGCGTTCTAAAGGAAAAGTAAACTTATTATATCAACATTTCTATATAGAATAGCTACAACTAAATCGTTTTTAATATTACCTAATAATGTGTCGAGGAAATGAGAATCATATGCGAAGCGTGAGTGCGCTCTGTGTCGGATATGACGCCAGAACGTATACGTGTGCGACTACTGTAAATATTCTACCTAATTTTCTCTTTTAATAAATATTTGGGTACTTTTATAACAATGTTTTATTTACCTTTTTAATATAAACAACATATCTGCTGCTATTTTGGTGGTATACTAAATTACCTGCATGTTACGTCGACAGAAATTTTTGCACTTTTTTTCACGAGTGAAAAAATCCATTTAAATAATTTTAAATACTTTGAAACTTTCCTATGGCAAACTACTAGGTATTCCAAAATCCTCTACATGAAAATTTTAAGCCGTCAATGTAGGTATATCGATAAATATAAACTTTGAAATATAAGTAACTTTTTATAATATTTAAGAAATTACTTTATAATATAAAAATAAACCCAAACTAAAATATAAATAGATTCATTCCGTGACGTATATCAAAAATTTCAAGTTCAATTATATCTGCGAGCGCTCGCGATCTAACCGAAAAAGTGTCATTGTATCGCGTGTTTTAATTTCGCGTATAATCTGGTTTTAAATTTAAATAGACTCTCCGCTCCAATTTAAAATATATATAGAGATCGTTACTACTACGTTCATTCAAAAACGTTAACAATTAACGAAATAAATGTTTTAGTTTGTGTCAAAAAATAATACTGTAGAGATTTCGAATTAGTTGCCAAATAGGTATCAATTGAGTATGAAATGTTTATAGCAGCGAATTTTGTTTAAATTCTATTATACAGGCGATTAAAAATAAATACTTATTTGAATAAAAGTAAAACAGTGCTTTCTTTATACTTAATATTTAAAGTAACAGATAAATACACAATTAAAATTAATTTAATTTTTTTAATTAAGAATTTTTTCGTTCATTAAAATTTGCAAACAACAGTGTACTTAGATTTTTATAAACATATGACACAAAAGTTATTATTCTTCCCCAATTCAGTCTACATTAGTGCCTAGTAACTACTGTGTCAAAAAAATATAGTTATAGTAGTGCCTTAATTTGTAATAATGATTCTCTCATGGGCGATTCTCTCTCTGATGATATTCAACCATTTCCAATTATGGTATCCCTCATATATTTAGATACTCTCTTAGTAGTTGATCTCATCATTGTTGTCTATTGTTGGCTATGCGGGCCCAAGTTATCTCTGCTAATTTCATCAATATCATGTCCCATCTCAGGTTTGGTCTTCTTCTAGGTCCCTTTATTCTTTGTGGGTACCATGCTGCAATTTTTGTGGTCCATCTGTCGTCCATCCTTCTTGCCAGGTGTCTGGCCCATTGCCACTTGAGTGATTTGATTCTGTGGATGGCATCTGTTACCTGGATCTTTTGTCATATCCAATCTATTATTTTACGGTCTCTTTTGGTTATTCCCAGCATATTTCGTTCCAATGAGCGTTGTGCGGCATGCAGTTTCATTATAATGTCCCTTTTAAGTGTCGAGGTTTCGCATGCATAGGTTATGACTGGTAGTACACACTGGTCGAATGTTTTCTACTTTAGATAAAGTGGCATTCTAGATTTGAATATGACTGAGTTTCTTCCGTAAGGACCTATGCTAACTTAATTCTTCTGTTGATTTCTGGTAGTATAGATCCCGAGCTGTGTATTAGTTATCCCAAATATACCGACCTGGTCATTTTAGAAGAGTGGTCTGGATTTTAACGTGTGAGATATTGATGGAGGCAGCTTAATGACAATTCAAATGTATTAAAATGAGAAAAAAGTTGGGTGACACATATTTTCTACGCGGTATTGCCGGATTTTGCCAAAAAATTTCCGCACAAGTAGGCGTTTCCGAAAAATGTTGCATCTAGGGTTGAAACTTTATTTTTTATTTTTCACAATTAGTTACTCATTTTACTACAGCTGTATTGGATTACACACGGCGAGTCTTAAAGAAGAGCAAATATTTTTAGGGGTAGTATATTTCGACCCTATAAACACGACTATGAGTTTTTTTTCGCAAAAAAAATTGGAAAATTTGGAAATTTTTTTAGTTTTTACTAAAAAATATAATTTGTTGATAATATGGCAACATAGGTAGTAGATTAAATTTACAAGAAAGAAAATCCAGAAAAGATCCAGTGGTTCTCAAAATTTTAGCAAAAAATATATTTTTTTTAAATTTCAACGTAAAATAACTCGATTATTTCTTCCCCTAGGAGATGCAAGACCTTGTCGATGGTGGGGAAGCTCCTTGTCAGGTGCTGGGGGGAATCCCCTCTAGCACTTGGCATGGTCTAAGAAGCATCTCACTCATCGTCTTGTCCCTGACTGTAGTGTCGTGGCCAGGGAATTGCACCAAGACATATAACGATACAGGGCGGGGCTACGGACAGCCTCAACCTTGGGGCACCGGGGGCACCCCATTGTATTTACCCCTTACTTCTACATGCGGGGCTCTGTAGAAGTGGACCGACTGTCTCTAGCGACTCATAGGAACACTATGAGATCTGGTAATAATAGTAATAAAAACATCACCGGTAAAGCTGTGGGAAAACCCCCTAGCGACACTGGGAACAGTAACAATGAAAGTTCCAAGGGGCCAAACCCAAAGAGAAGTACAGGAGAGGTGGCTGACACTGGCGTGAGACCATCCCCCGCAAGTGGTATACAAGCTACCACCTCCTCCAAGGGTCGGGAGCCTACCTCCTACCTCTAAACCCAACAGGCGACACAAGCTACCGTTTCGTCTACCCGGCCTGGGTCGTAGCTCCTCGACTGTGAGGGACACGGGTCTCCGTAGGAAGTCCTGGGACTGTATGATGAGTTATAACTCAAGAAAGGGGGACACAATAGATCTCTAAGGTCGCAGAGATTAACCCCCCTCCCACTTATTCTTTCTAAAACTCGATTATTTTGGACTTACTTGAAAAACGGCAAAGAGCAAATATGTTCCATTTATCGAGATCTACCAGCCCTGAAACTATTTGCACTTATTTAAGACTCACCCTGTATTTAGCTTAGATATATTATCTTCATTTCAGTAGTATACATGAAAGTTTTTAAAATAATTTATTTTCTTCTACACACATTTTCCTGCAAACGTATATGCCGCTTTTTATTTTGTCTTTCTGTCTGTCAACCGGTCATTTATATTATTCTTTGTCTTACACGTTATAATAAGACAACACTTCTCTCTCTCTCTCTCTCTCTCTCTCTCTCTCTCTCTCTAAAATGACCAGGTCGGTATATATTTTTCTATTTCCAGTGTTGTGTTATTTATTAGGATGTCTTTTCTGTCTTCTGGTTCGTTGCGTATATTACTTTAGTTTTTGCTAAATTCACTTTTAACAGCGACAACCAAAAAGTAAAGAGGCAACAAAGCAATGAGATTTTTGAATGTACGGAGTGCGGTAGGCAAATAACATCACGTATCCTTTTTTAGTCACAGAAAAGCTCATGAAAGAAAACGCCTTTTGATGCGTGTCGAATACTCGTCAGCGAGTAATGGCAGTATGTATGTATGTATGTATGTAGTTCTTCAGGACTATTTGTAATTAGGACCATGTCATCAACGAATCTTAGATGGTTAATACATTCTTCATCTATTTTTAATCCTTTGTTGGTCCAGTCCAGTTGAGGAAGATTTCTTCTAGTGTTGCTGTAAACACCTTTGGGGATATCGCGTCTCCCGTCATGATATATAAAGAAAAATGGGATATCGCGTCTCTCGTATCGATATCTCTCTTGGGAACTCTGCTTTTTTATATGTCATTACTCTTGTTTTGGCTTCTTTGTATATATTGGTGAGAGTTTCTATAGAATACATATTTTCGTATAAAATCAAGCGTTTTTCTTTCCCCAGGTGTGACTTAAACTTGGACATTATACATCTGCGTTCATTACTAATTTCGTAGCGGTTTTTTAGATGTATACACACATAGGTAAATAAAACATAATATAAAACCGGATGTCACGACCGAAAAAGGGCCTGTTTCCCAGATATACAGTTTCTGCCGTTTGTCGGTACGTATTTGTGTGCGTGTGCGGTTAAAATACACACAGAGAGAGACAAAAAAAAGAAACAAAACCCATCAGGCTCGTCCATCTTCCCTTTTCAAACGTCCGTTCCAAATTACACATTTGAAATATTAAAAAGGGATGTAGCGTACGTTCTACAATTTGAAATTTAAATTTGATTATTGCTGTGGGTGCTTTTGTACCTACCCAAGCCGTCATCGGGGGACAAATATTTCGTCGTATAGCCAATAAGGCTTAAAAACGTGTGTCTATAGGGAATTGGTCATGTGGAAAATGAGATGGCATTTTAACAG